AAAAATCGGGGGGAAAAAAAAATCGGGGGGAAAAAAAAATCGGGGGGAAAAAAAAATCGGGGGGAAAAAAAAATCGGGGGGAAAAAAAAATCGGGGGGAAAAAAAAATCGGGGGGAAAAAAAAATCGGGGGGAAAAAAAAATCGGGGGGAAAAAAAAATCGGGGGGAAAAAAAATCGGGGGGAAAAAAAATTGGGGGGGAAAAAATTTGGAGAAAAAAAAAATCAAGGGAAAAAATCGGGGCGGGGGGGAAGTCAGGGGAAAAAATTCTGGGGGGGAAAATCAGGGAGGGAGGGAATCAGGGGGGAAAAAAAACAGGGAGGAAAATATCAGGGGGGAAAATGAGAAATATTGGCAGGAAAGGTGAGGCGGGAAAAATTAAGAGAAAAATCCGAGACCTGGAATTTCTCAAAAAATTTCCGAGGGGGGCAGAAAGGAATAAGAGAAGCCACTGAGGAAGAGAAAGCAGGTTACACAGGAGAACTTCCAGGATCCCACATTCCAGGGACTTACCGCGTTCTTCAGATCCAGGTACTTGGTGTTCCTGGTCACCGGCATTCCGGACAGGAAAGCCAGGATGTCATTGTTTGCCTGTAAATCCCAAACACACAGGAAAATTCTCACCAAAATCTACTCCCAGTTATCCCAACCAGGCTCCTCAATTGCTTCCAATGGTTTTACTCCTGAATTTCAAGTCAAGGGAAAAGGAAAAAAAACCCCAAACAAATAAGTCAATTTTCTCCTAGGCTGACAATTTGAAAATGTGAATAATGGCTTGGAAATTTAGGAATTTTTCTTCCTGAAGCTTGCTGGAGTCTCCTCCACATCACAGGGAATAATCTTCCCCATCGATAACATAGTGGGAATAATCTTCCCTATTGATAATATAGTGGGAATAATCTTCCCTACAACCCCCTTCAAGGCTTTTTTGGGATCAAGAGCTCAACCTGTGTTTGCGGGATGACAAATTCCAAACTTGACTCAGTGTCAGCTGGGAAAAACCACCGGGAAGAACTCGGGAAAAGCCGCTTAAGTCCGTTATTATTTTCAATTCCCAGCTCAGCAAGTGGGAACAGCCCGGGAAGGAGGTGGGAAGAAGCACGTGGTGCTCCCAGGGAAGGTCACATTCCCAGTGTTCCCGTGTCCCACCTCATCCAGGACGGCATTCCGCTTGGCCCGCTGCCGTTGCCTCAGGAGCACCAGCCCCGCGATGATGTCGGAGGGAACGATGTCCAGATCCCGGAAAAACTCCGCAAAAAGGTAGGCGATCTCAGAATAGGCATCCTGAAAAACCCAGGGAGAGAGGAGTCACAGCACTTGGGGAACGGCCTCCAAAGAGGACATGGCAATGGGCTCATTCCTGGAGATCCAAGACATTCCTTCAGGGAATGCCAGACCTGGACTAATCACGGAATTACTGTCTCCTGTTTACTTTCTGTATTCCCACTCGGGGGCTGGATTTGACCTGTGCTCCGTGCTCAGGGGTGGGAAGGAGAACATCCCAACATCCCAGGCAGGCACAAAGGGAGGGAAAGGGAACGTTTTGGGATCTGTATATTAAATAAAACAGGGGAAAAAGGATGAAAACCAAGTGAATCCCAATCCAGAGTCACCTTGGAGTCATCCTTATCCTCAAAAATACAATAAAGGCTATTCCAGGGGGAAAAAAGGACTCACTTTGTCCTATTTACAGTCTCTTAAATTCTAAATTTGTCCTGGGATACATTTCTCATATTTAACCCAGACCTGGGATCCTGTTCCCAGATTTAACCCAGACCTG